ATTCATTTTGGCCACCTGCTGTGTCAATAGGGTTCCACATGTATCAGGTGATGCTTGGTGATATTGAAAGGGGCCCTGCACAGTGGTGTCACTTGAAAACCACCAAAAACAGACCAAACATGCCTGGGTCAAAGCATCGTTCTACTTGGGGTCAGTCCTGGTGATTGTGTCCGAGGATTGCAGGTGTACCACATATTGTGTGAAATTGTTTCATTTGATCCTCGAATTGTAATGTCATTCGGTATGTTTTGTCTCAGAAGTCTGCTGTGTTGTTCGATCCGTATCCCCCTGTGCATTCCCTTTGAGTGCTAGCAGATTGCAAACAGAGTGTGACCATTGGTGAAATCTGCAGGCGGGGAATTCAAACTGTCGTGTAGATGTCGTACTTTGTTCTTTTGTCCACCCTGTTTAATGCAGGGTTGTCGAAGTCAAAGATATCGGTCGGTGGTCCCTTCAACCCACTTCGCGTTGAATGCTTCCTTTGGCCTTTTGACCTTTCTTGGGGTACTGGGAGTGGCTGCTTCCTCTGGAGTTGGCACCCCCATCTTATGCAAACCAAATTTAGAGAGAGGGATGAGCCTGCTGAAAAACCTGGGGTGTCCTTTTAACACATGTTCCTCCTTGCTAAGACAGTCTTATCAGAAGGCTGTTGGGACAAGAATAGTTGAACCCAAGGAGGTTCAACTTGACTTTCCTAACACAAAGTCAAAGGGAACACACTCCTGAACATTTGCGGGGTTGCCAAAATGGCATCATTCTTGGCCCCTAAAGCAGTCTTGGTTCTGTCCACCCTTTTGTAGGAGTGTCAACGTCAGAGCGAGGTGTCCCTTCAATCTATCTGAAGAAACCTAGAGGCGGTACTGGCAGGTGTGACTTTGAATCAAAGCCCCTTGCTTGCGAGTGACTGGGGGAGGGTGCAAATAAGTTTTACTGGCATATATATATATACATATGTGCATATATATCCCCAACAGCAACCACCTTCTTGCAGCCTTCCGGAACCCTAGTGCAGGTCCGCTCCCAACCACAGGCGTTCAGCGGTTGAAGAAAACAAACGTGGAAAAACAAAAACTGAACCAAGGGCACCTGGAAAAACAAAAACTGAACACACAAAGGGCGACATCAAGTCGTGAGCCGAGTCCCAAAACCACGGGTCTTGATGGAGGAGAGGCCTCCGAACTGGGACCAGGGAAGGGCATATGAGCGCCAGGGGGGGGGGGTGCCGACCCTTTCTGCTTGGGAAGCCAAAAGAACATTGGAGAGATTCCTCCAGTCAGAGCGGAATTGACAGCTTTCACTTGAACCGCATTTGAGGGGGGAATGGAATAAGGACCCTGCTTTTATAAGTAGAGACAGAATCGGGCGCCCCTGCCCCCAAGAGTGCTAAGAACCCATCGACCAGAAGGTTCCTACAGGACCTTCCCGAGGGAAGGGGCCTTTGGTTTTCACCCCTATTTTAGGGCAAAAAGCGGTGTGTCTTTGTGTTGAGGGTGTGTTTTTGGGGGGTGTGTTTCTTCGGGAAACCACCAATTTCTGGGTCCTCCATACCATCTGGGGCCCTGGTTGCAAACCTGCCTGCTGCCCACATGGCGCTGGAGCGGTGCCGACTTGTGCTCTGCACACGGGCACCGCCCGAATGGATCGGTTTCAGGGTTGGAGCCAAGGTCTGTTTGGTGCAGAACATGATTAAACAACAAGTTGATTAAACTGCCTGGTTGTGCTTTCCCTTCGGTCCGTTTCCTTCAGCCACGTTTGCAAACCGCGGAACGGGTGGGAACCAGCGGCCCAACAAAAGGAGCAACTAAGGTGGGTTTCACGCGCTTTGCGCGCGCGCATGCCAAACGCCGAAACCCGAAACTACGAAGCTTCTCACGTCCCAAGGCCGAAAGTTTCTAGGGGAGTCTAAAAAGACTGGGACGGTGTTGGGTATGTCCCTAAAAGGGGAAACCTCTTTGAGATACATTGCGCAGGCCAAAAGCTGCTGGATGCCGAATTGCTAGTGCTCTGAAAACGGGGGCCAGGCCAAAGGCCCAGCAACAGTCGGTCCCCAAAATGGTCACATGTGATTGACAAGTTTGGCTGACCTGCCAGGGCCAAGGGTCTGAGTGGTTCCTGATTTCGCACCCACCTGCTTCAGCAAGGCGACTTTCTGCACATACGTTCTTTCAAAAACTAATATATATATATATATGTATATTATTTTGTTAATCAAAAAAAAGAAGTGGAGGTACAGCTGACGGAGACCTCTGCCGAGCTCTCGGCTCGAGAGGCTCTAGCTTGAGCCAGCGGCGAGCTGAATTGGACTCTGCCTGTTTGATCTGTTTTAAGGACGTCAGAAGGATAGATGGCTGTGGGTCATGAGTCAAAATCAGGGTTCCATTTTGGGCACCTATTTTTGACAGCCAATAGGGAAACCCCAAAATCGAACCCCCCCCCTGTGGGTCAATAGGGAAACCCCAAAATGGAACCCTGGTAAATGGAACCAAGCTGGGTAGCTTTCCAACGCATAGACGGGCTCCAAAATTAGTTCCAAACAGGGGCTCTGACGGGACCATGGACTCGCACCCACCCCAAGAACACACGTTGGAGGGCCTATAAAAACCTGGCTGAGGAATAGCAAAATGGGACAAATCCACTCTCGGGGCAGTTGATACCGTTTCCCAGACTTGCGGCAGGGAAAGGCGACCAGATGTTGATAGAACCTCCAAGTGGAAACTCAAACATGTCCACCAGGAAAGCAATCAAGTTGTTCAGAGGAAAAGCCCCCCTCATAAAAGGGGCAAGGAAAGGGGGCACTGGAGGTCTGGGGGGCAAATGATGGGGCAAACAACCATGACTAAAGGCGGTGTGGCAGTTCCACACCCACATGACGGTAAAAATTGGCATACATATCTATATGTATATATATACATATATATATATATATATATATGTGTGTCTATCTATATATATATATATATGTGTGTATCCCCTGTATACAACAGGTGAGTAGTGGCTGCATACTTTCCGTGATGTCGGTGCCAGTAAAAGAATGATTTGCCGTGCGCCGCCTCTGCAAAGGCTTTACCTGAGGTCTTGTTCTGAAAAATATTGGAAATAGCCCACTGCAATCGTTGTGCATCCCTGCCAGACCTTCGCGTACCTTTCTAGAAATATCTGCAAGCGCATGACAATACTAACTTGCCCCGATGACGATACTACCTTGCCCCGTGCTCGCCAAGTCAACTCACAATTCGCCTTAGTTTAGGGCATAATTCGCTCTCAGGGCTTGCCCTTTACCACATCCTCTCGGGCTCCGGTGGTAAAATGTTGTAAATAGTTCAAAGAATACAAAGACCGCAAACCGCCTTTTCCTTCAAACCCAGAAGCCAACGCGTCTGTCAACCGAACGGGTGCCCAAAGGGACCAGACATTCACACACCCAGACATGGGTCTGTGCATTTTGAGGCTTGTTTTTTGTTTTTTCCTTTTCCGGGGAAACCACAGGGCAAACCGAAATCCATTTTTGGAGGACCAATTTTCACCAGCCACGCCCATATGAAACCCCGGTATGAAAACCTGTGTAGTCAACTGGTCAATTCACCATTAAACATGACTTCAGGATGGGAAGCCACCCATAGGGCCAGAATGGCCAGGGGCCGTGAGTTCATACATGGGTCCATACTTATATGTATGTTTTTTTGGGTACGTATACTCTGCGTATACAATCGGCCTTTGAAATGCTGCCGTGTACTTGGTGCACTGCCATCTATAGGCCTCTTTTCTCCCGCCTCCTCCTCGCTGACACGGTGGGCAACATTTCCATGTGCGAAGATGCCACGCTCTCCGCCCAAAAGTGCGTCCTAACACTAGGAAGATGCAAAATTCAGGGTCCGGACGGTTTCACTCTGATTTTGGTTCCAGTGGCTCAACTGCAGCGAAAGTTTTTAAGTCCAATTGTATTGAGTCCAAATGTGTTGAGTCACTTGGCTTGAATGAGCTGTGTTTCACTGTTGGTCCGCATCGTCGTCTTGCTAAAAGCGAAAACGGGTCTGTCAAAGCTCCGGGCTCCAAATGATGGCTAAGGCAAGGGCCCAAATAGCCAGGGGGGTTAGGGGGGTACCATAAAACTATACATGTGGAAATTGTACCAACGCTCAGCTAGTTGCTACCGTCTGGGTTCGGCGAACCCCGCATATGGCTTCGGTGTTCCTTGCGGCCCGTGATCTAATCCGAAGTAAATCATTCGTAGTCGTGCTGAGTCTACTTTCTAAAATACAATCAAAACTGGGGTTGGCTAGTTTTACTGAAATGATGAAGACACCTACCAACAAAAATGTTTAGTCACTTTCCCAACTCAACCAGAAAGTGAAAGGAGGAGATCCCTGGGTTACCTCCAATATACCTGCGTTTGCCCAACGAAAATGCATCTTGTTCAGTTGCTGGTAGCCATATTTGGTGAACTTTGAAACTATGAATTTGGGGAATCTCCAAACTCGAATCAAGGGTTACTAGACCTTCATCCCATTCCCTTGGGGGAGATGAGATCCCATCTAGAATATCAAGCAGGGAGAATCCGTCTGGAACATCAAAGGAGATCAAGCCCTGTGGCGATTCCCTGAGAAGCGCGCGAAAATCCGTCGAGCTGGAAGGGGCTGGGCTGCTCCCTGCGACTCGGCAAAGAGTCGCAGGACCAACTGAGAGCGCCCTGTAAAGGCGTAGCTCCTTTTTTGTAGTTTGTAAAGGGGGGGGTTGCTTGTCAGGAAGGGTTGTTTGCAGAGAGGCGTGGCTCATGGATTGGAAGTTGGCATTGCCAAAATCAAGTGGGCTCTCAAAAAGGGTAAATGGTTCAAGCCAGCTTTTGACGGAAATGGGTGTGTTTTTTTAACGTATGCGAGGGGGTTGTTTGAAAGGCAATCCAAAGGGAAACCGAAATGCGCTTTGGGCTCCCAGTTTTTGAGCGAAACTTAGGTGAAGCCTTCGAATCTGATCTGGGCCTTGACAAATGGAAGCGTTTCGAGTCGCGCAAACACCTTTCCCCATCTCGGCATGCTCCAGTCCCTTCTTTTTCGTTCTGAAAAACCGAGGCGCCGAATTGAAGGACGCAGCCCGCTTCGGAAGATGCGCGCTCAGCGGGCTGGTCGGCGACACTCCTGACAGCGGCGTAGGCTCAACTAGCTCTGCTCGGCCTTTCCATGTGTGAGGTTGGACATAGTTGAACAGAGAAGAAGATGAAGAAGAAAGAGAAGGAGGAGGAGACGCAAAAGAAAGGAAAGAAAAAACACGTACAAGGAGGAGGGAGGAGAAAAGGAGAAGAAAAAGAAAAAGACAAAGAAAAGATATACGAGAAAAGAAGCAAAGCCAAAGAAAAGAAGAAGAAAAAAATAATCAGGAGAGGACGAAGACGAAGGAGGAATCAAAGAGCAGAAGAATAATGAGGAGAACGAGTCGAGGAGGCAAATGACACGAAAAGACAACCAAACACAAACGGAGGAGGACACACAAGTGAAGAAGACGTGTCAGCAAGAACAAGGGTCAGAAGTACTTGTCAAAACGGCCACCAACAAGAGTGATCGGAGGCGGCTAACTCCGCGAATCGGCGGAGCTGAACACACTGGGCGCCCCTTGGTCAGTGGCTCGCTTCCCTCAAAAGGTCTTTGAGCGCTGGAGCTTCAAAACCCGGCTTTCTGGGTAGATGTTACCAACATTTGGCGGCTTTAACTTGGCATATGGCCTTTTGGGTAAATCCTAGAGCTTCCTTTGGTGAGGTGTTCGAGGGGAGTTTTGGCGACGAGTTTTAATAAGGAACCCCCTCCAAAGTGTTTGGTGGACATGGATCCCCACCTAGATGATGTCCACCAAGGGGCCCTAATTAAAATTCAGACCCATATCATTCCGCGCCTCTCATCTCGCGCTTTCCACATTTCACCTGACGCCGATTCGACGGCTTCTGGTGGCCTTCGGATGCGGTTGGGAATCCTCGGGCGGTCAAAGGGGTTGGTTTGGGAATCGGGCGGCCGAAGGCAAAATGCAGGAATCCCTCTGAGCCCCTTGTATCAACCCAGCGTTGTGTTGGTTGATTGACCGTTCATGATGGCGCCATAATGGAAAGCCAGCGTAATAGGTCCCAAAAAAGGCAACGGGTATCTGGGGTGTGCAATTGAAATGTCCTTGGCTTTGGGGTAGAGGGATTGGTAGCACCGATCCGAAAGGGGTAAGCCAGCAGCCTCTGTCGTAATTGGGGCCATCGATACACTGCTCGTGTAACATCCCATTTTTGCAGGCCTGGTTCCTCGGACTGCTTTGCTTGACAAGCTGGGGCGGGAGTCTGGAACGGCGCACAACTCGTGCCTTTTGACGGATTCCCTTTTGGGCTCCCGAACTGAGGGACTTTGTTCGGGTTTTCACATTGTCAAAGGCAACTCCTGCTTTCACTGGCCCGACTCTTTGTCCTTGGGGTGGGATGATCCGTGGGAATCGCCTAGTGTCTCGTAAGCCCTATTTACGCCCCTGCCTGTCAACATGGAACCAAGGCTGGCCGATCCTCTCAACGGATGGGTTTGGTGGGGGTCCATGTCAATCAGCAAAAAAGAAAAAAACTAAGGTCTCACCAAAATCCTGGTGCGGATTCAAAATTCCCACCAGCAGCTGCGCAAGCTTGCGCTGGGTGCTGCTCCTCTGTAGCAATGCTGGTTGCAACGCTTTCCGCGCAAGGGCTATCTTGGCGTGTGGAAAAGTTCGGCATATGAACACCCTTGCGTTTATGGCGCAATAGTCCTCCACGTGAGCCCAAGCATATTGCGCGCTTGCACAGCCTTGTTTCTGACCCAAAAACCGGGCCCGGCCAAACGGTCATGGCCACCGGCCAGAAAACATGAGACAATACGGTAAAAAGATGCCAAATATGGGTGTCCAAAGCAAAATGGACCATGCGGGGCCAAACAGCTAGACTGGGAGGGAGTGCGACATGAAAAAACCGAAGGAGAGGTCAGCTGTCAGCTGGGATTTCTCTCGGCCTCCTGTAGAGCTCTTCCTCCACAGAGCCCACCGCAAAGAGCCGGTGAACCTAATGGGTGCCACCAGGACCGGGAAAGTGGTTGGTATCCCTTCATAAACCCATGGATGTGGGGCGTATCTTTCTTATAGAACGGGACTAAGAAAAAAACCTGTCTTTGCCCCGACCGTGGTGAATCAAGGTCATTCTCAGGTGGGCTGATTGGAGTGTGGAGGTGTGGACAATTTATGCAAGGCAGGTACGTTCATGAAGGTTTCCAGTTTCAATATATCAGCTTTTCCGCCAGAAGCAACCAAAAAGTTGGCAACTCCACAAAGCGATGCTTCAAGACAGACTTTGAGTGACGGTTCCCTCACCTGGACCCAGGAAATCTGCACACCCGCCCCGAAACGCACCTGAAAAGCCTCAAACGGCGGCTTTCCCAAGCCCACAGCGACCCTTTTAGGGCCCTGAGGGCTATGCCAGGAACCAGCCTGTAGGAAAAGCCCGCAAGCCCGTCTGAAGGGGGTAAGTTGCAACCATTCCCCCACAGAAACCCCCACAGACGCTTCCTGCCCAACAAATCCCCCCACCCCCAAGCCCCCGGTGAATCACTCTGCGAGCGCGGCATGCACCGCCTTCTTCTGTGGGAACCGGCGGACCTCGGTCGACGGGCCAAGCGGAAGCGCCGACACCCAGCCATAAGCGCCGTGTTTTTCATCCGTGCGAGCCGGACGTCGTTATGCTGATCCGTTGAAGGGGGTTCGATCACACATGGGTCCTTTCGGACGCTACGCACCTTGTCCTTTGGTGCAAGCCATCGGTTAGAACTCGTTGATTAGAACCTGTTTAAGAGGGGCCCGTTGATATATGAATCCAAGGGGCTAACAAAGATGCACGCATGATTCTTCAACGATCATGCCCAAAGGTTGTTCTGAACTACCCCTCAACCCCATTCTAATGATTTAGGGCCAAAAATTAACATGGAGCCCAGAAATGGGTCAGATCCGAAAAGGAGAATCCAATCCTACGCATGGTGCTTCTTGGGCCTTCATGTTGATCTGCAGGAGAGCAACGGGGTCTCCACTTCCCCAAATCACCCCCGGGTGAACACATGCGCTCAACAACAACCAAACAACAGTGGACAGTGGCCAATAGGATCAGGAGATCAGCTTTGGGCGATCCTTTTCCTGGCGCAGGTGGTTGGGTATCCGTGGCCTACACGGGTGTGGGTCAATATCAAAACACCTTCGAAAGCCGCGGATTTTGGTCCATGTGTTCATTTGGCTTCCATTTTGGGGTTACCCAAAATTTTCGGCCCACGGCCACAAACGGGCGGGGCGACCCGAGCCAAAGCTTTGGCTCCGCGCGCGGCCGATGGCCTGGGCCTCGAAGGCCAACATCTGCAGGCGGCTGATGGAGTCCTCCGCTTCGAACTGGATGCGAGGCGGGGGATGCGACTTGGAGCTGGCAAAAATTCGCGAAAAGGGAGGGGGAGAGAGAAAAAAACAGACATGGCCCAACTGGCCAGGTGCGAAAGGGGGAACAAAACCGACCAAAAGCGAGGTGTTGAAACTAATTGGGTGGAGTTGGGTGTGGGCTGAAAACCCCGCGAGAAAGGGGACAAAGGAAACAAGCAGAGCAACATGTGTTTTTCTTTGCGGGATGCGCGAAGAAATGAACGGCCCTGGGTTCTTAAGGCCCCCTCAAGAAACAGTAGGCGGAAGAAGAGAACGCACTCAGGAGAATTGCTCGGCTAAGAATGGGATGTCATCTTCCTGTACAGGTAGCCAAACAGCGATCAGCAAGCAGAAGACTGACCGCACGCAGCTGATAATTACTGAGAACAGGCGACCAAGGCAGGGAACCTCAAAAACAACACCTAGCCCGCCGAATTGGACCTATTGTGTCGCAAACCGAAACCATGTCTGTCAATCGCTTCCAGGCCGATGAAGCGCCATTAAACAATGCCTTTCTCCCTTTGCCGGCTTCCCTTTCTGCACAAACAGCATGCCCAGCCCAAAGTGACCTGCAGTCTCCAAGTGCCCCTTTTTTCCCGGCTGTTTTGCACCATCGAACATCGAATGCAAATGGGGACGGTCATAGCCGCTTCATTGCTCCGGCATTCCCATGACATGCTTCCTATGACCTCCTGACCGTCTCCGACCTCGCAGCCGAATTCGGGACGAAAGCCCACGGTCCATCAGCCCTTCCCTGAACCAGAGCGGCTCAAGCTGTACGGAAAAGTCTCGTACTCCCTCCCGCGTTCGAGCGCCTTCCTTTCAAGTATACGTCTCCGTCGGCGGGACTCTGGTGACAGGAAATCCCTGAAGAACCAAAACTTGCCATTGATGTGCCTCCCACCTTTTCATGTCCCTTGAAAACAACCCAAAGGGGTGCCGAGCCTTGACACCTCATTTAAATATCCTTCTTTTGGTCCCCTTTTGAAGAGGACCAGACGCTGGTTGAAAAAAAAAAATATACCCTGGCTCGTCATCCAACTACCCGAAAGGGGTTCCCCCAGCAACATACAGCCCCAAAGGTCTGCCAAGATGAAACTACCCCCTTTCAAAGGCCTGGCTTAAACGAAAACGAGGAAAGCCATTTATCCGGAACTCCGGTCCTGGCTGGTCGCCGTGGGTGTGCAGTAGGGGTGCACGATGACCACGTGCCGCGCCATCTGAAAGGAATCTCATGTCTCACCGTGGGAAAACTAGGGGCTCGGTACTTCCCGTGTTTCTGCGTGTTCTTTGTTGAAAGAGGTCGTCCCCATGTCCCGAACCCCACATCGACCGTGGACCGCTGGGAATTTTGGCACCACTTATGACGGTCACAGATACGTCGGTCAAGGTAGGGAAATCCACTTCCAGCGGGTGCCAACCACGACAGCTCATGGCCAGAAACAGGGGCGGGCCCCCCATTTCCCCTTCAAACACCGGCCAGCGAAAGAAAGCTCGGATTAGAATACTAGAATGGCCAACACGTGATCCTTGAATCACCCAACGGGGGAGAGCTGAAGGTCATGATGCAGGGGGGTTCCATGTCCTATTTCGCGACTAACCCGTTTATACTTTGTACCATGTTGCGTCATAGTGCGGTATATCTCTGAATAGGGGGAAGTCCTGAAGCCTGAAAATAAGCGACTTCCTAATCTGGATAAAGCTCAGTCAACATTTGCGTAGCTCTGTATTTCCCAGCCCGTAAGCCTTCTCCAACAAAAGGCGATGTTTACAACAACCAACAAGTAGCCTCGCCAAAAGGTAGTCAACACCACCCTTGGGCGAAATAGACCTGAACCGGACACAGTTGCTGTTTCTCGCCTCAATGACTGATTCGGTGAGTCCCTTTCTGGGTCGAAAACAAACCCTGAACCAGTGAAAGGTTTTCTTGGCAATATACTGAAGCCCGTCGAGGATGACTTTACTGTAACTTTAACGCATGCGTTGCCATTTTTGGACCACAGGTAGACTTTCACCCGGTTCCGATCCCTTTTGAGTTGGAAATCAACATTGGGCTACGATCCGAATCTGCCCGAAAGACCAAAGCCGCGTTGGAAAAAGGGGCGGTTTTTGAGAGGAACGATGGGCTCGAGGGGATAGGAACGGATGCAACCGCTACCTTGAGGTTTGCTCCGACAGTAGCAAACCGGGCCTTTGGGATTCGAACACCCGCTGAGTGACACAGCCCTAGGCTGAGTCCGGGCACATGGGTGGGAGACTTTTCGGGCAGGAAAAGCAATCAATCACTAGCCTCCCTTCCACCCTCCCCCTGCATGGTGGCCTCACCCCCATTTGTGACAAACCCTTCAAGCAAGAACCGAAATCATGAGTTCGGCAAACATGGCCATACCCCCTGGTCAAAGGCTTGTCATCGTTTTCCGCTCCGAAAGCTGGGTTCACATGACGCTCCCTTACGGAGCCTGCAGGTTGATGCCGGAGGAGTGCCGCTGGCTGGACAGCAACAAGACCTCAAAGAAGAGCCGATCCAATTTTGTTCTGTTTGTTTATTTGGGGTAACAGGTGTTGACAATCTTATTGAAACAAATTGCAAGAAGCCAGTCATCTAATTTGGGCCTCAATCTGCTTGTTGGAAGGGTCCCTGTTCCTCACCATTCACTTTTGAAGTAAACAAAAAAGGCGGATTCCAAAGCGATGAACGAAGGAGCAAAAACTGGGCGCCACATGGACTTTGTGTTTTTTTTTGCTTTGTTTTGTTGTTGTTTCCACCTCACTGAACGAAGAGCTCGTGAAGAAGCCTCGATGTTTCTAGTTACTCATCCCCACCAAACTGGCTGTAGGGGCCCACACCAACAAAAACTTGGGTGACCTTCGAGAAACTTCGAAGCCAATCCCCCGAACTCGAAGTCCACAGCTGAACTTAGAGAGACATGGTTTGGACCACGGCTCAAGCTTAAGTTTGGGTATTTTGGGTGTCTTCTTATCTCTTGAGTTGGCGCACGTTGAGCTTTCTGTTGGGCCCTTCATCATCTTAGTCAAGGCTCAACAAATCTGGGTTATAACCCAACTAATGAACGGGGCCCAACCCCTTTGCAGGTTCTTTCTGGCTGCAAAAAGCCTGTCTTTAGGGACAGGTTTTCTTGTATGTCCGATTTGTCAGTCTGTATTCTTTGTAGTAACCTTTGAATCTGCTTCAGGGCTCCCTACACGGCTATGACTGTTAATAGGGACCCACTCAAAAGTGGCCGATCGCTAATCACCGAAATGATGTGCACTAAAGGGTCCCTAATTTACGTCAATACTCGTGTCTGCGGGGTACCTTTAGTATCGCTTTCGGTACCCTTTTTTGTTTTGTATGGTACCCTTCTGTTGTTTGTGGTACCCTTTTAGGGTGTTGTTTTAATGGTACCCTTTTTGTTTCTACATCCCCGTGGGTGTGTCTTTGTTTTCGAGGGTACCCCTTTTGTGTGTGAGTTTAAGAGCAAACCAAAAGGAACACCATGTGGGGCCCCCGTAAAATACACACCTGTATGATTATAATAATAATAATAATAGTAATAATAATAACAATACAACTAATAATAATAATAATAATGATAATAATAATAATAATAATCATAATAAATAATAATAATAATAATAATAATAATAATAATAATAATAATAATAATAATAATACTAATAATGCTAATAATAATGATACAATAATAATAATGATAATAATGCTAATAATAATAATAAATGTGGTCATGTGTGCATATGTGTGTATATATATATGTATATATATATATATATATATATTTGGCACCCGTAGCCGTTTTGGCTCAAGGCGTCTCTTGGGAAATGCTCGCTAAGACTGCGCATTACATTCTTTGTGCGGAAATCGTTCATCCTTCTTGCCGCTGGTACAACTTCTGTGCCCCAACACTCGCGGTTGGCGCGGAGGCCCAATCTCATAGGGCAGATAGGGGGGGCATACTGCGGCATACTCAGAATCAAACAATACAAATCTAAAACGGTATGTGCAAAAATGATGGCACAAAAGCATGCCGTCATAGGTGTCCTTCTAGGTCAACTTGGATCTTAATGTCAACCCCCGGATGAATTTAAACCCCTGGTGGATTAATAGGGGGGGTGTCCCCTTTTAGTGGGGATTCATCACTTTTGGAGGGAACACCCCCTGATAATGGGACGGGTTTATTAATCCTGGGTCAACATTATTCCATTTACCAGCGCCATCAATTTTCAACAAGGCCACCCATGCATAACCTGGCTTCCTGCAAGTACGGACCCATTACCCAGAAAAAGTGGCAAGGCTGGCCTCTTGGATAAAAACCGAATGTCTAATTATTGTTGTGAAGAAAAAAAGAAACACAACGAATACATGTAAAACAAACAATAAAAACAAATCCACCAAATTGTGTTAATATGTTATTGAAAATTGTTTTCAATTTATCAACATGTGTTCGATGCCAAGAGTAGTTCACATCAAATTGCTCTTCATTTTCCCAAATTCTTGTCAACCCTGAAATACCAAAGAATGATCATAGTTGTTCAACAGGACACATCTACGTATCATAAGTACGCAGTGTTGCTGTATTGTCTCGTTTTTAACAGAAGAAAACAACTACACATGCATCCCCAAAAATATCCAAAATACCACAGTGGCCCATATTCGTGACGAGGTCTCTTCGGCTCTGTTTCATCAAAGCGGCGAATGGACCGGCCAATCGCCCAGCCCGAGGCGCCCGAGGCGCCCGGCGCGGGGGGCGCCGGCCGAGCCGAAGCGGCTCAGCACGTCCATGGTGTCCCGGAGCTCGCCCACCTCGCGCCCAGACGCCCGGGCCGAGGCGGGGGCGGCGGCGCGGGTTCCGCGATGGGACCAACCGGGAGCCTCCGGTTCCACATACACAAACAGACGGACAGATGGACAGACAGAGAAACAAAGAAACAAACAAAGAAACACAGAAAAACTTTGCTCCCCTGTGGGCTTGCTAGGAAGTGAAAAACTTGTGTGTTTTGGGGCAAACACCATCACTAAGACAGCTTCCCATGCTTCCCCTGTTGAACGACACAGAAAAGGCTATTACCCTGAAAGAAGACACCCCAATTGGATGTGTACACAATCATCCAACAAACTCGCCAAACCCCAAACCCCACTTAATCAGAAAGTAGCCCCCAGCCAGCCAAACAAGGCAAACCACGGCCACTCAATCAGTGTGGAACAGGCCAGTATGGCATAGAAGCGGTGGAGGGGACATAAGCCCAATGAAGCCTGGAGCTAGAGTGGTCCACCTAAAACCATGCAGAGCCAGGAATCTCCGCCCCTCACAGCCCTTGCCCTTCATCTACTCACCCCAGGACCAGGGGCCGTGCCAGCGCAAGGGCGGGCAAGCCGCTCTGCTCCAAGACCTTCTGAAGGTAGACCTCATGGGAGTAGCCCTTGGGGTCGACCAGGATTGGTCTTCTTCTCGTTGCTTCTTCTTCTGCATTCTTCTTTCTCCTTCTGCTTCCTCGTCTTCTTCTTCTTCTTCTTCTTCTTCTTCTTCTTCTTCTTCTTCTGCCTCCTTCTGGAACCTAGACTGGGTTGGCTGCCTGACTGGCTGGCTGGCTGGCTGGCTGGTTTGTTGCTTGTTGCCTGCTTTTGCTTGTTGTTGCTTGCTTGCTTGCTTGCTTGCTTGCTTGCTTGCTTGCTTGCTTGCTTGCTTGCTTGCTTGCTTGCTTGCTTGCTTGCTTGCTTGCTTGCTTGCTTGCTTGCTTGCTTGCTTGCTTGCTTGCTTGCTTGCTTGCTTGCTTGCTTGCTTGCTTGCTTGCTTGGTCGGTCAGTTGGTTGGTTTCCAAAACAACAATCGTTGGTACTCCAAAAAATGGCGGAACTCCGTCTTGCCCTCTGCTTACAACCAACCAAACAAGTGGTTTGTCATTTTTTGCACACCCAAAATGCACAAAGAATCAAAGACAAGCAAATCGTCGATTCGGCTGCACGAGCCAGGGAATCTTCAGGGATGGCGTTGGCCAGATGCCCATTTGGTCATGCTTACAAAAGGACGCCAAACGAAGCTCAACCACTTGAGAGGGTCCCCAGCTTTGAGACAGACCAACCGATAGAACCGCCGCAAGAAACTTGACTCTGGTGAAAGCCTTGGGTATTCTGTGTGTTTCTATTGAAAGAGGAACAGCCATTGGGCAATGAACAAACATTGGGCGGCTTTCGTTTGGCCATAGCCCATACCTCCCAGGCCGCAGCGTGCACAGCTTGGTCCCCTGCCACGTGCGTGGCCCATTGGGTGTACACCAGCACACGCTCCTGGGAGGCTGCCAAACTCCCCCCCCCCCCCCCTTGGATGCACCGCAGGTGTGGGTTTGGAGGTACGGAGGCGAGAGATACCGCTTTTTATAAGGAAATTTGCTGCCCTGCAACATGTTATTGATGGTACCCGGTATTGCCATGACGGGGCGCTCTGACATTGCGCAAGCGCGATGCCGGACAATGGCACTTCCAACATATTGAGTCATATACTCCCAAACCTTGCACTTGTTGCGTCGCTAGTCAACGAGACAAGTAGTCGTGCCAAGCTTCAAGAAACTGGACAACTCGCCTTCACGGAGGCTGGATGCAAACAAGAAATCCAAGGGCCGATTCCTCCTTTCAGCCCTTCTGTTCAGAAACCTGACAGACATCCGGCGATCCTTCCTCCGAAGCTCGCTTTCACGGATCCGAACTCAAGATAGATCGGGCCTTGTGAAAGAATGACAGCCCATTTGGCAATCCAAAGGGACCGCTTGGAAGACCTCCAAAGGAGGTTTGGTGAGCTCTAAAAGGCAAAAAACAACACGCCGCCCTGCTTGTAATTGGGCAGAAAAATGGCCGCCGTGCCTCGCAGCGCGGGTCCTATGCTTGCCAAAAAGTTGCTTTCAGGCTTCCAACCACTTCTCCACGTCTTGGAAAAATGACCAACACATTCTCTCCAAGGCATCTCCGGCAACACCCCCCCCTTCAGAACTTCAACCCTCCAGCCGGTCTCGTGAGCCTCTGGGTCCGCCAGGATCTGCCCCAGAAGCGCCAGCAGGCGCTCCAACTTTGAGGGCACCTGGCAAAAAAAAGAAGAGGAAGGGGCATCCCAAAAGGGGGGCAGGGGAAACGGGTGAAAGAAACCTTGGCTGCAACCCAAAACAGAGGTCGATCGCGACTTGATTTGCCCAGACTGCACGGAACTTGTTTGGAGGGAGTGCGTATGCTACAACAACAGCTACCCTAACGATGGTAAGATGGCTCAGGAATGCACTTTGGCCGAAGCTTTTGCCTGGACAACGTTGGCTTTCATCCACATGTTGCAGGGAAGTCCTACATTCGTCCAACGGATTGGTGCAATTGCCAAATCCCTGTATCTACATACCTCCGTCCAATCATGGAAGTGGAACGATGCTGGCCTTTGCAAAAGGACTGTTGTCTTCCAAAACCCTCCTGTCAGCTTCCACAATGGATTTTTGGCAAAGAGTACTCGCCCTTGTATCTACTAGTAACTAAGTAGCAGGTATATGTTTCACCAGTTGGATACTTGCAACCAACCTTTGGGATGTTCCAACCACCATTCATCGCCCACCAAATGAAACATACAAAAACAAAGACAGAAGCTCTTGGATGGCATAGAAATACAGTACAAACCATAAGGAACATCGACCTGGACCTCAAAACTCGGAAGTCACACATCGGCTCGCCTCGGTCTCCAGAGCCTCGCCTGAGTCACTGAGCCGCGGGCTCCCAGGCACCCCAAAATCCAGCGAGGGTATCACTTGACTTTTGCTCATGGAAGCCCTTTTGGGGGTGAATGAACCTGGAAATTCAACTAGGAAACCAGTGCAAGTGGACTTAAGTTCTGGCCCCTAATTCATAGCCGCGCGCGGATATGGGTCCATTTCCCGTTTTTGGAAAACACGTGGAAGGAAAGCCGACTTCTTTTTGGAACCTTTCCATAAGACAGCATTCCCTGATTTGGAGATGGCTTGTCTCAAAATAGGGGTGCCCCCAAAATGGGTCGGTTCCTTCTTAGTTTCCCTGTAAAGATACCATCAAAAACAGACACGCCCAAATGTTTGAAAGGGGAAGGCTTGTGTGCTTTGGAGGCTTTGAATGGATCTGATTTGTCACTGTGGCACCATCGGTTGCTGACGTGACAAAGGTGCCCTCGGCAAAAGGTGGAGTCCCATGACTTGTGGAATGGTTCAAAAACAAATGATCTCTCCACAGAGTTGAAAGTCGAGAAACTGGGGAAGCAACTTAAGGATAGAATTCTATTGCAGTTGGGCTGTCTCAAAATGGGATCAAGAGCCCCCTCAAAAAGTGGAAATGCATAGCTTGCCTTTCTGGTCCCATGGTGAATTCCCTGCATGCTCCCCTGACCATCAGGCGCACAAAGATCCTGTGGCTAGGGTGACTGATAGAACAGTAGCTTGGCCCAAATCCGCGGTACCAAACAACTTATGTGCTCAGCTTCTGGTGCGTAATCGGGTGTGAATCTTAGTGGATCCTGAGGGGGATCATGTCCACCAACACCTCTTGTGGCGGTCCCCATTCCCAACTATTTAGTCTACCCCAAGACATAACACAAGTTTGGTTTGGCGCAAACTCGGGCTACAAAATGATGTACAACGAACATATGTTTAACTTCTGGTCCATACGTAATCTACCCTAAGATGGCATCTTGGTTTGGAACCCCCCAGGTTGGAGCTGATGGTTGCCACCTGCGAAATGACATGGGTTGCCCCAGAAAGGGGCGGCCTGGCCTTTTAGAAAAAATCCTCCGAAAATGATGCCCTGTTGGGTGAAACACATTCTGACCCACCAGGTCACCTGGCCGTCTTTGAGGCTGGACTTCATTGCCCACTCTTGGCGAGGTGGATGAAAGTTGGGTGTGAATTTTAGAATGGGTCCCGGACCCCGTGGACATCATATGTTCATGTCCACTTTCGAGGTGGTTCCAACTCTTAAAATGCACAGCCGCTTCAATTGCCGTACGACATGATGTCTCGTTCCAGGCTGGCTGGCTAGCTGGCTGGCTGGCTGGGGTCTGCCGCACTAGGCATCAGCGACTTGGGGCGATCAAAAAGCAGCACCTCCAAGAATGGGAAGCCCTCTTCAATTCTCCCTAGGTCACGTCTTGGACAGAAATGGTCTCTCCTTTGGGGCCCAAAAAAGGACCATCCTGCCGCTGTCTTGCAAATTCACGTGGAACTCAAAAAGGCATCCCTGAGGACATTCCTCTTCACTAAAGGATATTCCTCTACTCCAAAACCTAAAACGATTGGGTTTGTGTTTCTGGAAATCCCTATCTGAAAGACTAAAAGGTGGTCGGCGGGCTGGGGCCCGAGCTTTCAGCACTCGGCGCCTGGCGTCCGGCGATTAATTGCAGATGGGACCTTTTTGGGGTCTGTGAAATCCGGCACCTCACATTTGAGCTAGGAAGTTTGATCAAAACAAGCCAAGCAGCCCCCCTTCTGGGGCCTGCCCTTCGGCTCAAGGGGGGGACATGATCAAGGGCAAAAGAATATGCGTCGAACGCCCCCTGTTGGAAGAACATACGGTTTGGTGCTCAGCGTCCCCGAAAAAGGGGGATGGACGGGGATCCCTATTGACCTCAGTCCTCCAGGCTCCGAAATACCTCCCGAAACCAAATCTCGGGGCGTTTGATTTAGCCCCAGGAGTGAACCTGGACACATCAAGCCAGCTTAAGCTTGCCCGGAAAGGCGGCATAGAAATTATGAGGCACAACGTTGCAACATTGAAGCGGGGAAGCCTGTTAAATGGCAACATGAATATCTGCAACTGCAACACTTGAGCCTCATAGCATGGAAATACAAGGACCCTGGTATATACGCCAAATGAGCCATGGTCAAACATGTGCATTTAGCGTGAAGGACCATATCCCTCCGAACGACCACAAACTGCTGGACGTTCTGACCAAACCCCAGGTCTCGGTCTAAGGGCCATTGCTGGAAGGCACCCTCAATCAAACCATGCCGAAAAGTCTGACCACGATTCACTTCCCCTTCTTGGCAACAATGTCTCACTTCCTGAGTGGGTTGGCCAACAATAGTCTGAGCTTGTTATTTAAAGTCCATGAACTCAGGAAGTGAGATGTGGAAGTTACCCCTAGACCAACAGGTACTCTAGCAAAGCTTGTCGAATGTCCTTCAGGAATTGATACTAACCCCAGGTAAAAGTGCATTATTATATCCAAGCTGTGCCCACGAACTACGAAAAATGATCATCAGGATGTGGCAGGGGACATAATAATGCGAAGCTGATTATTGTTCCATGCATCATGTCTGTTTGTGAAACCACATGGAAAGGACAACATATTGCACAAGCGTGTGCATGTGCTTCCTATTTGCACAGCTATATTCTGTGTATGTATTATGTGTGCGCGCGTATGTGTGTGTGTGTGCGCGCGTACGTCTTTTTACACGTGCCTTTGTTGGCCAAGCGCGGCTAAGTCAAAGTCCACTAAGTGGAGAACAAAAAAAAGGCTGAAAAAACGCAAACATAGTGAGTATGCCCCGCTTTTGGTTGACTGACTTGCGATCAAACCAAAACCAAAAACAAACAAACAAAAAACCACCGCGCCTCTCCGTCCGGCACGACCACAGCAGGCCGCCGCCCGGGCGCGCGGAAGACCACGATGTCGAGGCCTCAGGGCGCAGGCGCGACCCGCGCAACCGGAAGCTTCGACGGGGGCAGCGGGGTACACGAAACAAACGCCGCAAACTTGGTGAAGGTTTCACCGGACTCAGGAACCGCAAACCGAAGTTTGGCCGGGATTCGGGGGAACATGGGGGCAAGCAGGCAAGAGTTGGAACCCACAAATTGGAGAATGGGAGTGAAATTTTGAGCAAGTTGGGGAAACATTGGCATACAACCGCAGGTTACAAAACCAATATGACGGTTACAAGGAGAACAAACTGGAGGGTCCCTGATTCTAACACAAACCAGATGAGCCTGGTGTACGAGGGCCAAAATGACAATCAAATGGACTTGTGGGGAGATTACAACCCAAATTGAGTCAAAAGAGAATCATGTAGCCCCTATATACCTCTCTCCCACGTTGCAATGGCGCCTGATGTTCGGGACCCAGTCCTTCAATGGAGGTTTGCTCGCAGAAAACCGATCTGGGTGTGGCTCAAAATGAAAGAGGCGGGGTTGCGCAGGTTCTGGTCTTTGTTCATTCAAGAGGCCCAAAAATTGGAACCACTTTTTGAAGCCACAGCCATATTGTTCTTGCCTCAAGGGCTATTTGAAGGGAATTTGCAACCAGTGTGACCCCTTTAGAAGAAGCCAACATACAAGAAAACTAAACAGTTACACTCATTGTTCTGTTGTGACCATGCCTCAATTTGGCTTTGGAGTCCCTCCGCCTGCAGATTGCTCAGGCTCGTCCCGATCCTGTCCACCCTCGCGATCAAGCAGTTCTTCGTCGTGATCAGCCCCACCTCACATGACCCGGCCGCCGGCAGGTCGTAGCTGTCCTGAGTGGACGTCGCCACGTAGTCCAAGACGACTGTGTTGCCGTTGAACTTGGAGCTCATGACACGCCACCGTGAACCTGAAGGCGATGATCTTCGCGAAGCCCCCGGTGCCGGTCAGGTTCATTGCGCACGGAATTCTTAGCCCCGACGACCTGTCATCCTCTCCGGCCGTGTGTCCATGACCATGTTCCCCGAAACACCAAGAGGTCCCCCCGCACCCTTTGGGCTTGACCTTCCTAAGGCGGGGTGGGATTTGTGCAAGATCAAGACAGCATCCTAAAAAATGTTCAGGCTGCAGGTTCCCTAAGGGATTTATCTTGCTCGGAGAAGTCAAACCAATTGACTGGTAGTGGAGGATGGGAAGGTGCGACCCATTGTAGAAGGGATCCGGATCGCTTTTCAGGGACACACACGCACACACTCACACCAAATTCGAACGTCTAAGTCAGCTTGGTTTCAACCAAAAAAGAACTAGTTTGGGGGTCGGCTATTTTAAGACACAACCTCCATGTGCCCATGGCACCCCGTTGCTCCAAGCGGCGAAAGACGGAGATGCGGCACATGGGGCCTCGGGAGGAAAGGCCAACTGCGTCTCAAAACGGTTCACCCCGAACTGCTTGGGCGGCGTTGCCTGTTTAGAGGTTGGTTGTGTGTTTTTCTTGGTGTCCTTGTTTTGGGGGGAGGGGGTCCTTGTGCCTCGTTGTTTTTTGCCAGGGGCTATTTTAGGGGAGCGCCTTTCCAAACCAACCCCAAGAAGCATCCAACTATAAATTGGCTCGGATGCGTGCCTGCTTGCGCCTCTTGCCTGCCAATAGACACACAGAAGGCACAAATTGCAAGCGTGGACAAGGAGGGAGCAATAGCTCTACATGAATATGTGTTTCAGGAATCCTTTGGCGGACTTCATGGTGGGGATTGATGTCCATCAACCACTCCGTGGTTGAAATTTGGGGGCTTGTCCGCCCATGTCTTGAAGGGCTCATTCGTGCATCAGGGTGACAGGCGCTTGTTAAGCCAGCGACTTGGCTAAGTTTAAAATTGCCGGACCAGGCAGACACTGAAACACATGTTTTGAATTAAATTAGTGAAACATAGTGAAATAGTTTGTGAATCAAAATAGTGAGTGAAATATTTAGTGAATCAAAATTGTGAATTGGGAAACATGGATTTGCAGTTTGTGACTTCAATTAGTGAATTGAGAATGTGGGTTTCCAGGTTTGTGAATTGAGAAAAGGAGCCAATTGGTCTTCCCATTCATTATTCCCATTCGCAATTGTTTTAATTCACTATTCCCATTCACTATTTCATTTGCTAATATTCACTAAACAATTATTTTGATGTTTCCAATCTCTACCTCCCAGCGGCAATCTTAAGGCTAAGTCTTCTGCCGGGGGAATTAACAGCATCGTCCTCTATTCTCTTGGGATAATGTCGTCTTGTCCGGCAAGTACTCCGCCTTCGTCCCATCGCCACCCGCCAACGGCAGTTGGTAGGCATCTTTGTTTGGAGTCAGCTCCCGGAAGGAATTCCGGGAGCTTGTGTTTTGGGTTGGATTTTAGGCTTCGTGGGTTGGTTTAGGGTGGGCTTAGGGTGGGCTTAGGGTGGTTTCGGGAAGGTTTAAGGTGGTTTGGGAATAGTCCACGAGCATGCAAACACCGGAAACCCTTTATTCATAAATTCGCCCATTTACTGAGTATGATCTCCCCCCATCCGCTCCCCCAAAACTAAACTTGGATAAGGCGAATAGTAAACCAATACTAAGCCAACAAACTCCCCGCAGGTTCCAATGGGCCAGTTTCATCCTTTCAACCCCTCATTATCCACAACTTTTCCCAAACGATTCAACCCATGGATTCGCTGTCTCCAAAACCAATTGTTTCAAACAAAAATGTTTGAACTTTTGGACACCCTCTAAAGCAGTCTTCGCATAGATCCAAGGCTTCTGTCCTCTGTCCAAATGGCAAGCACCCTTTGTTCGGTTCATCTACAGTGGACTAACTGGACATGGAAAAAAGGTTCTGCTCGGCATCCGAGCAACTCGTAAAGACTTGGTAGTGTATCCTGAGAGGGGACCCGCCCACATGTCCAACAAAAACCAGGGCCACCCCCCCCAAGTGTCCCATGTCCGCGGCGGTCCATTAGAAAACACGCCAATGGTCTACCCTTCAAGGGAGCATCGTAGGTAGCATTGGAACAGCTCGAAGCAAACCTTTTTCTGGCCCAACCCCGGAGTACGCAAAAAAAAAAGAACGACACACAAAACCAGACCCTGTCCCGTACCTGGTCAACCCCAAGACTGGGTCGGCTTTGTTTTGTCCAAAGCCCAAAACATGTGTCTTGTGCTTAGCCAAGAAATCCCATTGTCTTCGTTCTTGGCTTCTGTAAAAGCCAAACACCAACTTTGGAAGAGACCCCAGCTTTGGAGGTTTGATCCAAAGCCCGATAGTTTTGGTCGTTTTTGTTTGCTTAACTTTGGAGGTGACCGAAAATTTGGTCGTCCAAGCTTCGATCCCTCCGCTTTCGGTCGTTTTGGTCCCCGCGCAAGCGAAGCTGGGCCCCATGCCCGCCTCTGGCGAGGCTCGTCTCTGGGTACCCCAAACAGTTCGGGGGGGGGGGGGGGAAGGGACACCAGGAAAGCCTTGATTTTGGGGGGTGCTCCAAAGGGGCGAAGACAGTGACACGCCCTGTTTGAGCGGGCGGCCGGTGCTTGACCTGTTTTTGATTGTCACCTTTTTGGAGACTCTAGTATACTGTGGTTTTAGCATGCGTGAAGAAAGAGAACCTTTTCAAAAGTTTGTGTTGGGGGCTACGCCCACTTTTTGGGCGCGTCCTTTTGTTGACTAGTTGTGTTGCCACCCTTCTGTTTGATCCTATGTGTTAGATGCGAGTACGCGTCATCATTGCTATTCTCTCCGCCGTTTCTGTGTGCACTTGTCGTTATCTTTCTCATTGTCATGGTCATCATCAGTAATACAGTTACTAGTGTAATTAGGATTGCTTCTAAAGCAAAAATAGTCTCTTGCTTGTGGTGCTTGATCTGGGTTCCTCTGCACATGATCGGCTCGGTGGTGGTTTCCTTTTACCATGAGCCACAAAGGGCTCCCTGCGAGGTATGTAGCCTTCCAAACACGGAGACTCCCCGCAACAGTTGAGGGGTTCATAAGCCTTGCTACAGTCAAATCCTACCGGTTGGTGGCCCATGGCGTGAGTGGGGGTGACTTGAGTCGGCCCAAGGTGTCAAAATCATCCCAAGGTTCTTCAGGTTGTTGGCGGCCCCCAAAGTCCTTGCGCCTCTCTGATATGTTGTAAGGGGCCCCATGTGTAAAAACAAATAGCCTGTCTCCAATTCTGGGAACCCCAGAATAGGCTTCAGTTCCCCTTTGGTTCTCCAAAACGAGTACGAAACCTCCTGGACCTCTTGGTGCTTGGTGTCCCAATCTGGTTGCGTTCGCTCGTCGGCCTGCCCGGCTCCAACCCAACTTCCTGGGCGACATATGGCGGTGTCTTTTGTGAGGGTACCCCCTTTTTGTCGTGTTCATGGGAAAGCAAAAGGAGAATCACCTTTTTTGGGACCTACAGGGCTGCCACTTTTACTTGGGACCCTTTGGTAGACATCAATCGAGGGATTTGTGTCCACCACTCTGGAGGTGCCCTAACTGAAGCTCGCAAACCAGAACACAGGCTCCCTTTGTTGCAGTCGTGACTCTTTGGGGATGCTTACAAGGGAAACCGAAGGGACACCCACCATTTTGATGGTTCCCTATTTGGGACACAAAATTTGGTTCCTGGAATCCGGGTTTCATTGGCTTTAGGTAAGGGTATGCGCCCCGGTTCTAAGAAAAGCGCGAAGGGAAACCAAACATTTGGGAGGTTCCAAATGTTTGGATCCAGACCCCACCCTTCCCCCCCCCCGCCTGCTGCTCAAGGCAAGCGCGGCAGAGGATGTGGAAGCCTTGGAGGGAGACAGGGGGCTGACCGACCAAGGAGTGAACCCCCCGACCCACGGGCGGACTCGGGGCGACCGCCAAAAGATAACCTTGGGACTTAGGGCGAGGGCGGTCCTTTGGTTGACCAGAGGGAACAAACCCTTGAGATTCCCTTGCGACTTTGGCCGGTTGGCTCCCCTGAGGCCTACAGTCAAAGGCCGTTGGCTTTGCGCCGTTTCGGTCTAGCCAGTTTGGGGGGGCATATCTCCAAGAAGCCGGAATCACGGGTGATTGAATACATTGAGTTCAATTTCCGGTGTGAAAAGGACTGAACGCGAGCAGTAAGCCAGGGTGCTGGAAATAGAGACTATACTATTGGACCTGAAAGTAGTCACAATTTGATCAAACAGCCTGCCGTCAAGGCGAGGTTGCTAGCCCTCACTTCTCCGGGTTTTGTGGGAGTGGCTTAGGGGCCTAGGTGCATGGCCCCTTTCGTCGCGGCGTTGCGTTTGCATCTGTAGAGTCGCGCAGGTGCCGTGGTCTCGTCACGACTTCACAGCGCCTTCTGGCTAGGCTGAGAAATCAAGAACATCACCAATTTTCCAACACTTGCCAAATCTCAAGATCCGTAACTTCCAAATGGTTGGTCTGCGTTGTTTGGCCGAGCCCAAGAAGCATCACCAACGAAACTTCCCCAGCGCGTGGCACAGCTTGCCCTTTTGTTTCCACCGAAAAGCCTCCCTCGCTACAAAAGGGCAAGAAAGAGGCCAGGCAAAAATGGCCACCCCATTTTGAAGGGAAAAAACAACACCAAAACACGTAAAGCGGATGACAAATTCTCAACACAAACACCCAACACAACACAGCCCTGCTTCTTCCAACACAACTAGCGACAGCTAATTTCTGCAAAGGCCGAAACTTCGCGAAAGGCCGAATCAACGGCAGCTAACGCCGTCCACCGTTTTTGCGCCTCTCCAACCCTCCCCCAAATCCTTATTCATATCTGTTTCACCATTTGTCAATCTTTTTCAAATGAAATCAGTTTGGCCGAGCGAAAATTCGGGGATCGCTATAGGCCCCCCCCCCCCTCCCCCACCTCCTCCCCCCCCCCCTCCGGTCACCGCGCAAGGCCCGCCGAGGCGCAGTCCGGGAGCACGGCGAAGGCCTCCGCCTCCTCGCCCTGCGCGAGGCACACCGGGCAGTGGGCCTCGTTCCTCGGTCCAAAGGCGGAAACGAGGCGGAAAACGAGGTGGTTTCAGTGGAGTGCCACACACCTTCGAGATATTTAAAATGTGTCGATTGGTTTAAAAAAAAGGGGTTGGAATCTCCTCACAAGGGGACAAATTCGGCCCCAACAAGGTGAAGGCGAAGGGAGTGAAGGGTAGAATGAAGTCTCGTTTTCCAAGCCCACTGGCGCCGGTGGATTGTGTGTGTGTGTGCTCTGGATGCCCCCCCTTTCCAAGGGATGTGGCCTTTTCCGGGATGCCCCTAACCCGGTCGTGGATAGGAGCACCGACCGCGCCGAGCCAAGTCTCACCTTCAGACCGCTGTTGAAACAAGGTTTGGCTTCTCCCAAAGGAAAACACACAAATCAACAACCAAATGCGACCAGGGGGAAAAAGAGCTGGAACCTGCCTCCCGCCCCTTTTGGCCCCGCACCTCTCCAGCAAATGCCGCATTTGCCGAGCGAAGCGCAGGGACCGCTCACAGCGATCCCGCTCCCCACGCAGCGCCTCCGGAGCGATTTTGTGGAAAAAGAACGGCGAGAGGACCCGAGAGGTCCGTGGCGGTGCACTTGTTGGAAGCTGCGGCTTGGAGGTTCTGCCTTTGTTCCATTTAGTTTGCCTCCAAAGTCAACCTCAAGGTGTTGCCAACATCAAAACAAGACACACACACACACACAGGGGCTCTGACTTGAGTCCCTGATTGAAGGCAAGCCGGCCACTTCCCAGGGCGGATACCCGTACTTACACTGGCTTGTGGCAAACACAAGAGGCTTATCAACAGCGAGCTGGCACCTCTCTGGGTAGCTTGTTCTGAAAATTGCCCGATGACCCAAGAATGGTTTCCATTGCCCCGCCAGACCACCTGGAAATCGGGTGTGAAACCCTCTACGGTTGATTCCCTGCATATTGAAAGTGACAAACCAAACACATCCAACCACAAAAGGCCCGTACATTGCGTGAAATGCAAGGGTATCTAGTGTGTGGTTCCCCGATCTCTTTGTCAATCGCTTTTTCTAGAAGCCATTGTTCGTCTTTGCGTGTGCAATTTGCTGAAGAGAAAGATGCATATTGTTCCCTGTTCCCTGTCGAACCCCACTCGATGAACCCAGATTGATAGCAGGGTCTCCATGAGAACCCCCTCAAAAGGCAGACACCCCCCAAATCCGCCAGGGGCTCCCATTGACCAGCAGGTTTGGTTCCAATTGACCAACAGGTTTGGTTCCAATTGATCAACCAAGCGCCCCAAACGTGTCTTGTTTCTTCCGCAACAACTTGCCGCCGAATCCCAGCCTCGCCCCGAAAACCCAAACCCAAAGCCGGCGTCGGTGCCGAACGCTTCGCCTGGAGGCGGCGATGCAGCTCGGACTCCACCGCGTCGTTGGCGATGAAGGCCTAGGATCCGACTGGCCGACTTTTCGGGGACAGACGGGCACATGTCACGTAGACAACCTCCACTCGCTTTCTTCCCCCCCTCCCCTGGAGAAAAAAAATGAGAACATGTGTCCAGCAGTGATAGATTCCCTTTAAAAGCCAGCAGGGGTGAAAAAAACATAGTCTTGAGCACATGGAAGACAAACAAAAGGGAGTCATGATCCAACTTGCACCCAACAGGGTGTGATCCCGTCGATCAACCAGCGGTTTTCAGACAACCAAAAAGTGAAACCCCAGCGCAAGGCGCCGAGACCAGGCCCTCCTCCACATCCCGGTCCTCCTCCGCCGTCTCCTCGGCAACGCCGCCCCGAAAGGGAGGCAAGGTACGTTTCCCTGTGCGCAGCTTCCGAACCTTGAAGAGGGGCCAAGCGAACCCCACCTAACGGGCGCAACGCCTATGGTGCGTGCTGCCTGACTTTTGGGTCATGGGAAGTTCCCACGCTCATCTTTCCACGTCCAAACACTGCAAAGACCAAATTGAGAGACACCGCCAAGGCCCATCTCCGCAAAGATGGTTTCCACCTTCCAACTCCCCCAAACCCAGAGGAAAATGGGGATACCCTTGATCTGGTGGCTATGTAGTGACTGTATGTTCCCCGTGGCTTCGGTTTGGGGTGGAAACCATCTCAGACCGGGACCCACGTCCCGCGCTCTTATCTTGCGATGATCAAAGTCGCCCAAGCGGTAGGTGAAAGGGAAACAACCAACTTGCTCAGACTTAAATCCCCAGAAGTGCAGAAGATCTGAGTCCTGCACCCCCAGGTATGAACCAATGCTAAGCACCCAGTTGTTTTAAAGGACAAACCAGGTATGAACGCTTGGTAAGCACCAATTTCGGAAGGTTCAGCATGTTGAGACAAACCGCAATGCAACAAAACAAGAGGGAAAAATGAAAAAAAAGGAAGAACACACATGATAGAGCTGCACGGGATAAACTAGAAGCAGAAGCCCCCGAACCAAAAGT